GTCGCTGATATTTGGTCTGAGAAATATAATCTTTTTTTTGAGATTCCAGTACAAATACTTAAATTCTTAGTAGACTGTGAAATAATTTCCAGCCGTCGTCCCCAGCAACCAAGACGACTCAGAGAGCGACCAGCACCATATGTGTTCCGGCCATCTAACACCGAATCACTCAGGCCGGAACACGCATCCGAGCTAACGGCCCCTAACCGCGATGCTTATCGCGTATCTAACAACAAAGTTTGTAAGTTGTTTGCATCATTCTATCTTCTTATTATATTTGTATTTGTTTTGGTTTGGTTTTCGTCAGCGAATAATACTCAGTAGTAAAAGCCACCAAGTAAATGAATAACTTATTGTTATCTGATATCAAAGAGATGTCAGATAACAACAACAAGTTATTCATTTATTTCATAATGAATTGAACACTTCGACAATCCGCCGATATATTCATATTGAATGAGATATTTACTGAACAGCTGAAGTAAGGCGATTTTGAGATATGGTTTAGATGAGCTTTCTGAGGTATTATTTCGATCAGTATATGTTCTCATTTTCCTTATAAGAATACGTTTCAGACTGCCGTTTGCCCGGGTGCGCCAGGCCGTCTACAGGTTTTGCTACTGTAGCGGCCTGGAAGATCCATGTGCGCAGGGCACAATGTCACCAACTAACAAGTACGTATGAAATTTTCTGTCTTTTTTCTTCGTCATTCGAACAATTTCAGTGTTTTACTCGAAATATCAGCAGCAAAGAGCTGATGACGTTGAGAAACGAAAGATTTCAATTATTGCTAACCAATACGAATTTTTTTGTTGGCAGTTAATTTTACAGATCACGAAAGTATTTTGCTTAATGTTAGGTAGTTTCACGCATCTTCTACAAAACTTGACGTTGGAATATTATATCAGTGAGATCAATAAAATTATAAATATATTCAATGCATTATTTCATTAAAAATAATGCGAGTTCTTTGACCTGAAATGAAATTTATTCGGTTGAAAACTTTTCGAACGTAATTCCAAATTGTCATTGATAATATTGTGATAATTCATTTCAGATGAATAGATTATGATTATGCAATACTAACCCAACTATGATTTCAGCCCTGTGCACATGGTGTGGCCATAACGTGCACGTCCCTCCGCACCTCTCCCCAGACCAACATAACATCTTCATGGACGCTCACCGGCGGGAGAGATGCGTGAGCGCCCCTCGTAACATCAATAAGGCGCGACATCTCGACGCCGATCGCCTTTCGGAGCTGGGCCGCGATATCACGCATATCGCGGACTCACTCCGTGAAGGACCCGAGGCAACGGCAACTCCTTCACGGAGGCGCCTATCCTCGGGGGCGTCGAGGGGGGACGATGACACGGGTGCTGGTCCGTCGAAACGTCCTAGGGTGTAAGATCTGGCGAGGCAGCAGCATTGGGCAATCGTGGACGCATCGGCGGCGGCTTCATTACAAGCCTCTTCAGCAGGACCGACAGGGTTTGCACCTCTTTTGATTGATTGTTGATGAGAGTGACTTTGAGGGTATGAGGAGATATTTGAGAGTATTTGATTGGTAGTTGATTGACTGGGCGATAATGAGGACCACTTTGAGAATATGAGGAGGAGATAGGTGATAGATTTGAGTTGATGAGTTGAGTGGGTGGGTGATTTTATGCTATGATTATCGTTTATGTTATTGTTTTATGATATGATAGATTTGTAGCTGCTTAGGATCATTGATTGAGGAGTTAGGAGAGTAGGATTAGTGAGGATAAGCGATACACCCACGTAGGTTCCTCATTTAGCGGTTCCTGCTGGGGAGGTTTTTTGTTTTGTTGTTTGTTGTTTGGTGTTGTTCGCGATTGTTCATTGCTGTTGTCTCCCATCCTAGGGCGTTTTCCGGTGAGCCTGGGTTGTCTTGGTTGCCTCCCCTGATGATGAGATAAGATAGGCCCCTTCCCCCCCCGTCCCCCCCACGTCCCCATCCCTTCCTTTGATGATGTCCTTACTTACTTTACTAACACTACTGGTCTGCGGTTGGTCGTCGTTAGGTGACAAAATTTATTGATGATGAGATGATGAGAATGATACAAATTTTGATTTTACACCACCGATTTTGATAAGATTGAGATTTTTGATTGAGATTGAGTTGAGCTTTAGTGATTATAGCGATAAGATAAGCACCGTCATTATAGCAAGCACCTGCAGCAGAGTGCTGTAGGCGATTCTCTCGGCCTGTTGGAAAAACCAGGTCGAATCCTCGGGGTTGTCGGCCCTTTCTCGCTATTTCCTCGTTGTGTTCTTGGCATCTATCAATGCCAACAAATTTTTTCGTTGTTAATATGATTGTCGAATTATTTATCGGTTTGCTTCCATCAATGCGTTTATCGCATATCAATTGAGAGTTATCGTGGCTAGTATGATTTGTGAATGAGTTTCGATTGACACGATGAGAGCTTTTGAAGAGAGGAAACAAATTCGAATAGTCAATTCGAAATAACTTCGAATTGTAGCTCAGTTCAAATGAGCTTGATATCAGTTGTTGCAATTTGAGTTGAATTCATAATAATAGTTTCATATGAAACAATATAAGTGCAACGAATTCACATTGAGTTCGTAATGGAATTGATATGAGTGAAAATGAATTTGAATTCTGAATTGATGCATCGTTATGAGTAATTGATGGCAATTGTGACGAATATCAGTCACTTCATTGATCGCAGCGATATTTTTGATGAATCGTTAATTGAGTCGTTAATCGTTAATTGAGTGATGAGTATCGTGGTCGAGTAATATAGTTATTACTGGAATTCGAAATGATTTTGTGTTTACTGCATTTATCGCATATTAATTGAATGTCGTTTATTCGTTTCGTTCGTTCAAATCGTTTAATCGTTATTGTTCC